TTCCCGCTGTCTGCTGATGATGATGGGAGTGGTGACCGTCGAGATGCAAACGGGGGCCCGCCGGCGCCGCCATCCAGGGCCTCGCCGGATTCTTCTTCGGCGAACTCGGCCCCTTCGCCGCCACAGCCGCAGCAGGGTGGTGGATTTCGAAACCACGTGGCCGGTCAGCGGGACCAGGTGGACTGTACGGGGACTGTTTCGGATGATACGGCTGACGCGACCCTGATCGTGGGTGAGGTCAGCGTGGAACACCCGTTGGTGGTGGAGCGCGCCCTAGGCGATTCGATAGGCATGGAGGCCCCATCAGTGGAAAGCAGAGTCGGCCCCACTGGGCACCAGAGTGGGGGCCGAGCAGGCTATGTGCCAAGGCTGCTGGTTCGTGAGGATTCGGTGGCTTCGATCAACCAACCGGATGGTGGGATTGTGCCCCCTCTGACGATGGTTAGGCAGACAACGCTGGGCCAGGCTGGGTCGCGTCCGATGGTGGGGCCTAGCAGCCCTGCGGGCACTACAGATTCGCTTGGGATCAGAGTGGGAGATTGGGAACTGCGCCTCTCCCATGTGGAGGAAAGCCCGCTGCGGGGGCCATGCGCCCGGACCGAGGAGGATTTTAACAGCGACAACTGTGGCAGTTCCGTACTGGTCGATTTGCCGGGGTATTCAGAATCTGCGGAGGGACTAGTGGGGCCCGAGCTGCATGTGGATGGGACGCCGCCATGCACGGGAGGCGCTGGATGGTTTTTGGTTAGCCTTTCTGAGCATCTTGAGGAAACAAATCTGTCGTCCGCCCTTGCCGTGCCGGACCCGTCTCCTGAAGATAGGGCGGCCCAGCTTTGCAATGACCTCAGGGGAAACATCACGCCGATCCTGGAGCAGCCCACATCCAGAGGCATTGCGGTGAGGCAGAGAAGACCGCACCAGAAGAAGGCGCTAGTAACAACTCCTAGGCGCAGCGTGCGGCTTGCCAAGGGAGGCCGGGGCTCTCGAGCTTCAAAACAACAAGCAGTCCTGATCAAGAAATTATGTCTAGCGAACGAGGCAGATCTGATAAGCGACGACACCCTGGAAGCATACGCGAGGCTGTTCGACAAGCCGCTCATGGACTGCCATGTCAAGGCCATATTGGCGTTGTTTGGGTGGGAGGAATCCATCTTACCTCTACAAGGGGATGAGGATACGGTGGTCGAGGGCCTTTAGTCCCTAGTGCCATGGTGGAGGTGGGATGCTAATATGACTACGCAACCTCCTAAAATCTTGGTGTGGAACGTGAGAGGGCTTAACTCCCCGGCATGTAGAAACACTATCTTCCAAGCGGTAGACGCGGCAAAAGTGGATGTAGTGTGTCTTGAATAAACAAAGATGGAGGTCATTTCGGATGATATTGTAAGACAAACCCTTGGCAATAGATTTGAGCATTTCTACTATCTTCCGGCGGTGGGCACTAGAGGTGGAATACTACTTGCATGGGATCAATTGGTGGTATCCGTCACCAATACACACCTAACGGCAAATACCCTAACAACACTAATCCAACAGGAAGGGCTACCCATGTGGTGGCTTACCGGGGTTTATGGGCCACAAGGTGATGCAGAAAAGGTGGCTTTTCTTGAGGAGATTCGGGATGTTAGAGACCTTCATGCGGGGCCATGGGCGATTGTGGGCGATTTCAACTTGCTTGTCAATCCGGAGGACAAGAATAAGGCAACTTCCAATAGGCGCATGATGGCTAGATTTAGGGCCATGCTAAATAGGCTCGAGCTCAAGGAGCTATACCTCAATGGGAGGCGCTACACGTGGAGCAATGAGCGTCGAAACCCAACGATGGAGAAAATAGACCATGTTTTCGTTACCAACTGCTGGGAGGATATATACCCCAAGAGTCTGCTAACTACGCTCGGTACGGCAATCTCGGACCACTGCCCATTACTTGTGGACTTGGACGCTGAGTTCGAGGTGGGCCACCGCTTCAAATTCGAGTGCTTCTGGCCCAAAGCTGCAGGATTTTTGGACACAGTGGAGCAGGCGTGGCAATCCATACCTTCGGTGGGCAACCCATTTATAGTGTTGGACAACAAGCTGTGGGCCACGGCGAAGGCCTTGCAAAGTTGGAGCGACTGTTGGATAAGCAACACCCGTCTCCAGATAGCTTTGGCAATGGAAATCATATCAAGACTGGATGTGGCGGCAGAATCAAGGGTGCTGTCGAATCAGGAGCATGGACTCCGCAAGTTGTTAAAGAGGAAATTGTTAGGGCTTTGCTCCTTGGAGAGAATGGTTGCCAGACAAAGATCGCGCCTATTGCATCTGAAGGTGGGGGACGCAAACACTGCTTTCTTCCAAAGGCACGCGAGGCATAGGCAGAGGAAGAACTCTATAACTGTCATTCAGCACAATGGCGAGATCTTCACCGGGCAGGAGAGGATAGCGGATGTGGTGGATGTTTATTTCCAGGATCTGTTGGGAACAACAGGGGCTAGAGAAGCCAATATCAACCTGGATGTGCTTGACTTACCATCTACGGATTTATCAAGGCTTGAGGCACCATTTACGGAGGAGGAAATTCACAAAGCCATCAAGGGCATGCCTATGGACAAGGCGCCGGGACCCGACGGGTTCACCGGCAGGTTCTACACAACTTGCTGGCATATTGTGAGGGTGGATTTCATGAGGGCGCTTGAGCAGTTTCATAGGGAGGATATGCGGGGCATGGCTACAATCAATAAGGCTCTGGTCACGCTATTACCAAAGAAGGCTGGCGCAATGGACATCAGGGAGTACTGGCCGGTGAGCCTCATTAGTGGACCAGTCAAAATCTTTGACAAAGTTCTGGCAACTAGACTGGCGGAGGATCTTCCAAAGCTCATCGGGCAACACCAAAGTGCGTTCGTTAAGGGGCGTTCCTTGCATGACAACTTCATTCTTGTTCAGTGCATGGCACGTCGTCTACATGTGTTGAAATCCCCAACGGTTCTTCTGAAGTTGGACATTACCAAAGCTTTTGACTCGATCAGTTGGCCTTTTGTCATCGAGGTACTGCGGCGCTTTGGATTTGGAGAAAAATGGATTGCATGGATCTGTGGGCTGCTAGCAACTTCCTTCACAAGGATCATGGTGAATGGCATACCTGGCAAACCGATTCTGGCGTGTCAGGGTCTATGACAAGGTGATCCGCTATCGCCTATGCTCTTCATTCTGTGCATGGAGCCTCTCAGGGCCATGTTCAAGTATGCCATGGACAGAGGTTTGTTGGAGCCACTGGCACGGAACGGCTTGCAACAGCGTGTATCTATGTTCGCGGATGATGTAGTGGTGTTCTTCAAACCCAATGAGCTGGAAACAAGGATGTGCAGACATATACTTGCGCTATTTGGGCAGGCCTCCGACCTTGTTGTCAACATGGCCAAGAGTGTCTCCTTACCGATTCGATGCTCTCAGGAGGAGATGGATCTGGTCTCCTCTTCCTTGGGCTGTGCCAATGCCTCATTCCCGTGCAAGTATCTGGGGATGCCACTAACGATAAGGAAACCCACCGCGGCGCAACTTCAACATCTGGTGGACAAAGTTGCTGATTGCCTACCAATGTGGAAAGCAGCTATGCTGCCAAAGAGTAGTAGACTGCTGTTGATCCAATCGGTACTATGTGCCATCCCGGTGCACTCGATGCTGGCTCTGGACCTGCCAAGGAAAACTTTAGTGGCGCTAACCAAGATCTGCAGAAGCTTCCTGTGGTGTGGAAAGAATGAAGCAAGTGGTGGGTCTTGTGCGGTTGCATGGGACGAAGTATGTACGCCCAAATGCACAGGCGGACTAGGGCTACCCAACCTGTTTTGGATGAATAAAGCACTACGGGCAAGATGGCCATGGCTTCAAAAGGTGGACAAGGAAAGGCCCTGGGCAGAATTCTCCATCGTGGTGCCAGCTGACTCGCAAGCTTTGGTGCATGCAGCTGCGCGGACAATGATAGGCAATGGCAGAAAAACACTTTTTTGGGAGGATAGATGGATCGATGGTTTTCGGGTGTCTGAGCTGGCCCCGCGAATCTACAGTCTAGTCACGAAGAGAGTGCGCCAGTCGAAGCTGGTGGCGGATGCAATACGCAACAACAACTGGGCCAACGACGTTGGAACTGACCTACCACCGGAGGCTCTGGACGAATTTCTAAATCTTTGGCCAAAGGTGGCGGAAGTGCAACTTGCTGATGAGATGGAAGACACGGTGAGGTGGACGTGGGAGCAGAATGGAGAGTTCTCGGCTCGTATGACATATGCGGCTCGGTACATGGGGAGAGAGGTGTCCCCAACTGCCGTGTTTACCTGGCAGACTAAGGCGCCAAGGCGATGCCGGTTCTTCTCCTGGCTGGCGATAAGGAACGGATGCTGGACTTCGGATAGGCTCGCCCGACGTGGACTACCCCACCAGGACACATGCCCGTTGTGCAACCAACATGATGAAACCATGCAGCACTTGTTGATGGAGTGTGTATTCGCGAGGCAGATTTGGTCGACAATGGGCCGACTTACGGAGAGAGTGGACATTGAGCCGAGGCAAAATGAACCGCTAGACCAATGGTCGACAAGGCAAGACGGAAACTCAGACAGCGGGCGTGCGCACAAAGCCAAATGCCTTCTTGGGATGTGGATGATCTGGAAACAGCGGAATGACGTGATCTTTAATGGGGAGAGGCCGTCGGTTCCACGAACCATACAACGCATACAGGAGGAAGGTAGGCTATGGGCGAAGGCGGGATTGTTCAAAGGACACAATGTAGGGTTCGAAGTAGAGCAGGAAGCGTGGGGTACTAGCGACTAGTTGTGTCAAGTGTGGGGTGGTGTTGGACGAGGTCCGCATGTAAATAAGCTTGTAATGTGGATTTGAGGTTCTCTCCCCTCCCTTTTTTAATGAATGATATGCACACTCGTGCATATTCGAGAAAAATATGCTATAAGGCATCACTTGCAACTTGCAAGCTAGTAGCTGCGTGGGTACCGCGCGGGCTAACTATGGGGTCCGGTTCCAGGGCTGCTTCAAGGAAGTCGACGGCGTCTTCGTCGTCGTGGAGGTCACTCCTCGACGGTTGCCTCGGCGGGACCATGGCGGCTGGGGAGAACGTCCCAGCAAGCGGCGGGTTGGCGGAGCAGCCACCGCCGATCGTCAGGAACAACGACCTGTCGCTGGCGGCGTCCAACTCCAACCTGCACGCCTTCACGTTCGCGGAGCTGTGCGCGGCAACCGAGGGGTTCGCCTGCTGCAACCAAATCGGCAGCGGCGAGTTCGGGACGGCGTACAGGGGATTCATCGAGGACGGTGTCCGGCCGGGGCTCCCGGCGCAGCCCGTCGCCGTCAAGCGGACACGGTGGCGGGTCGACAACTGCGTCGAGGAAATGGTGGTACATACCTACTCCTCGATGTCAGCCCCCAATTTCACATTGATCAGATGTACTCCATCTCCATCTCTCAGCTACCGTGTGATCAGAAGGAGGCGATGTTCCTCGGGGAGCTGCAGCTGCGGCATCCCTGCTTGGTGAGGATGATCGGCTACTGCTGCGAGGAGGAGCACAGGCTCCTCGTCTACGAGCTCATGGCCCATGGCAGCTTGGACGACTACTTCTTCAAGCGTACGTACGCACACAAGGAGCCCTCCTAGCGTTGACTCTATCCCCAATTCCCCATATGTGCAAATCAGAAAATGACATCGAAATGAATTCATTTCATGTGATGCAAATTTCAGCTTTTTATCGTCCCGTGCTGCCATGGTCAACCAGACTAAGCATCGTCTTAGCTACGGCGAAAGGGCTGGTGTCCCTCCACGGCACGGAGAAGCCATTGATCTGCGGCGAATTCAATGCCTCCGACATCCTACTGGACTCGGTAGGAGACCATTCTGCATCTCTCGCCCTTGTTAAATGTTAACTACGCAACTTGGGAGGACACAACCGGCTAATAGTTTATGCTCCTTCTCCAAGATAACAATGCCAAGATCTCGCTCTCGGGCCTGAGGCTTGACACGAGAGCGAGCGACGGCTCGGTCACCACCACGCGCTCGCGCCTAGGAACACCGCGCGGCAGCGCATCAGAGTACGTCATGTCCGGCAGTCTCACCCCGAAATGCGACGTGTACAGCTTCGGGGTGGTGTTGTTGGAGATTCTGATCACAGGGATGAAGTGGGTAGACATGAAAAGACCCGTCAAGGAGGAGCGGGACCTGCTGGAGTACGCGCGGCCGAATCTCGAAGACCCGGTTAAACTGGCAGGGATCATGGATAAAGCATTGAAGGGCATCTACCCAGTGGCAGCCGCACACAAGGCTGCCCTGGTCACATACAAGTGTCTCCATGTCAAACCCGAGGACAGGCCAGACATGTCGGACGTCGTGAAGGTGCTCGATCTGCTTACCAACGCCGCCATCAAGGAGGATCAGTTGCCGGTGCCGGCGCCTGTGTCGCCCAACTCCAACCTGCACAGGTTCACCTTTGCGGAGCTGAGCGCCGCGACCGGAGGGTTCGCCTCAAGAAACAAAATCGGCAGCGGCAGTTTGGGGACGGTGTACGGGGGATCCCTCGAGGACGGCATCCGGCCGGGATCCCGGCGCAGCCAGTCGCCGTCAAGAGAGTGCGTGCTGACGACTACCACTCCGAGGAACATCTGGTATGTAGGTAGATCGATGTACGTGTTCTGTTAGTGAATTGTATCTCTAATCAACTTCCTTCTCTGTGATTAGAAAGATTCGATATTCCTGGGGGAGCTGCAGCCGCGGCAGCCGAGCCTGGTGAAGATGATCGGCTACTGCTACGAGGGGCTGCACAGGCTTCTCGTCTACGAGCTAATGGGCCATGGCAGCTTGGCAAACTACCTCTCCAGTGGTAAGTCAGTACGCACGAAACCTCCCAATTAACGCCTTGACTTTAATTAACCCACATTTACAAAACTACGTACTACTCCTTTTGAAAGTGATCTGTGATGTGTGCAGAGCATGATTCATGATTAATGATTTCTGCAAGAATTGAAATGGATCAAGTTAATTTTCCAGTGATTTGTACCTGCAAAACAATTTCATGTGATATCTATTGGCAAAATAATATCATGTATCATATGTTTTAGATATTCGTGTTGTGTTGTCATGGTCAACACGGTTAAGCATTGCTCTAGCTACCGTGAAAGGGTTGTTGTCCCTCCATGGTGAAGAGAAGCCACTGATCTAAGTCAAATTTAACGCCTCCAACATCTTACTAGACTCGGTGATCATTCTTCCTCTTTTTTTAGTGATTGTTTATTTAGTCCATATGCATGGAATTTTGAGAGGATAACAATTTTTTGATGAAATAAACTTTGCACCCTACTTTCATTGAAATAAAATTGATAGTACAACACAATAAACATGTTTTGTTTGGTTGACCGTGCCCATTAGGCAACGATTGGAAAGAAAGAAACAACCACCTAACGCGAGAGGAACGGGCAACAAATTTTTGATGAGGGGCGCTTTTAATTAATTCAAATATAGCATCAAGCAAATACAAAGCATGATTAGCAATACCCGGCCTCTATACAACTAAGATGCACACAGTCAAAACTATACTTAATCATAATTAAAGAAGTGGTTTTAGGTATAGTTTTCTTAATTTACTTTTGCAATCACGATTTTTTCCATTTGACAAGAACTTCGTATTTTCGTTTATGCACTGAAAGAGTCAGGGCATCGTAATTAAGCATTTTATCAACAGGGCCACTAGAAAGACCATCGATTGCCACTATTACCTGGCTAGACCCAACATACACTCGCTAATGATTTTTACTCTTTGTACACTTCAGTATAACAATGTCAAGCTATCAGACCTGTGGTTCGCCAGAAAATACGGGAAAGGTGACGATCCTAACGTGTACACACTCGTAACAAGTGGGTACGGCTCTGCGCCGGAGTATGTCATGTCCGGGGACTTCACCAAGAAGAGCGACGTGTACTGTTTCAGAGTGGTGTTACTGGAGATCCTAACCGGGCAGAGGTTGGCCTGGTTGGCCTGTGCTTCAGAACAGAACCTGCGGAACCTACGACCACGTCTGAGAGACCCGCTCAAGCTAGGGAGGGTCATGGACCCAGTGTTGAAAGACATTTACCCGGTGGCAGCGGCACATGATGCTTGCATGGTCGCGTATAGGTGCCTTCACGCAAGCCCCGGGAACATGTTGGCTGTTGTGGAGGCGCTTGATTTGCTTGTTGGTGTCACCGTCGCGGACGAGGTCGAAGTTAGTCAGACAAGCACAAGGTCATGATCGTGAGCTAAGCTTTGTCATCGTTTCCATGTAAACATGTTAATCCGATCTCTATTTTCTTGTAATTATGTAGACGATCACTGTCCTTGTGTTTATACTTATGTACTATGGCGTGTTTGCATGTTTAATTCACTATGTTGTTTCTCTCTTATGGATACATCAAAAAAGACATCCAAGAAGGCATATTATTATTATTATCAGGACGAGGAAATCTCAGGCGGGAAGTGCAAGGCCAACTAGAAGCTCGTAACCTCGCCGGTGGACCGCGGTGGCCTTGGCATTCCAGACATGGTACGTTTTGCGCCCGCACTCCGCCTACGGTGGCTCTGGCTCGCATGGAAGCATCCGGACAGGCCATGGGTCGGCACAGGATCGCCGTGCGACGACAAGGACAGAGAACTATTCGCCGCTGAAACTAGAGTTGACATAGGAAATGGAAGGAGGGCCACGTTCTGGAACTGCACCTGGCTCGGCGATCAGCCGCTAAAACTTCAGTTCCCTCTGCTGTTCGCCAACTCATCAAGAAAGAACCGATCGGTGGCTGAAGCGCTCCAGGGCGACAGATGGATCCTTGATCTCCGGAGAAGCAATGCGATGGAGATCATCCCGCAGCTGGTCTCTCTGCGCCGCAGCATCCGCGAGGCCAATCTCACCTTGTGGGAAGAGGTGGAGGATGAGATCTCCTGGCGGGCGGGAGCTCAGTACAGTGCCAAATCAGCCTACGATGCTCAGTTCGATGGGCAGCCAAGAGGTGCACTACAACAGCTCATCTGGAAGGTATGGGCGCCAGGGAAAATCAAGTTCTTCATGTGGTTGTTGCACCATGACCGGCTCTGGTGCAACGACCGGCTGCAGCGGCGCGGATGGAAGAATGGCTACTTCTGCCAGTTATGCCTCAGAAACTTGGAGAGCTCGGCGCACCTCCTTTGGGACTGCCCCACGTCACAGCTGATTTGGGCCAGGGCAGCAGCATGGAGGGGCTGCGGCGCGCTCAGCCCAGTAACCTGGGACGGGTGCAAGACCACAACGGAGGTTGTCACTGCAATAGTCTCTGCATCATCACCATCCAACAGACGAGCCTCCAAATCCATGCTGGCTCTGGTTGCATGGAACATCTGGCAGGAACGCAACAGCTGCACGTTCAGGAAGAAGGAGGCTTGCGTTGACGATGTGATCAGTGCTTGCAGAAGAGAAATAGAGCAATGGAGGCTGGCAGGAGCAAAAGGATTAGAGCCCCCCTTCGGGGATATCACATGAGAAATAAACCTTAGACGATAGCCAGAGGATAGGGGAAGGGGGAGAGCCTGCGTGCTCTTCTTTAAACCCGGTCTTTCTTTCTTCTGTTGCTAATCTCCTTTGATTAGTGACAATTTTTGTAACTCTCTCTTCTGCTAAATCAATGAAAAGCCAGGCAGCTGGGTCTTTTAAAAAAAAGGCATATTATATCGGATACTCCTTCCGTCCCAAAATAAGTGTCTTAACTTTATACTACCTTTATTGAAACACTTATTTTGGATGTAGACACTTATTTTGGGACTGAGGGAGTATTTAGCAAGAAAAATAATGGGCAGTACAGTTGAAACACAACTGGACAGTACCAATTTTTTTTACATTGCCAAATATACTACTCCCTCCATCCCAAATAAGTAACGCCGATTTAGTACAAAGTCCATACAAAATTATACTAAATCAACGACACGTATTTTGGCACGAAGGGGGTATTCTTCTTCTTCCTTCGATTGTACGCCACTCGGCAGAGATTGAAATTGCACCGAACCAACAGTGAAAGAAAGAGATATGTGCAAACGTCTTCGTTATACCATGATTTAAAGACAGCAATAAGCACTCGTCCATTGAGATGAAATCTAGAAGTCGTTGAAGAAACATCAGTTGAAGCATCATGCCATGCAAAACAAGCTTGCAATCCGTCAACATCGTTTCAGAGGGTTGGATAAACCAGACCATGCCGGAGAATAATACAAATAAGATGTCAAAGTTGTCACACTAATGGCTGGCCAATTGCTCTGCTTGAATGACACACCAGAAACCAAGATATGAAGACAGCCAACATATCTGGTGATACAAACTCCCACGGGACAAAAAACTCCATTCACGCCGGAACGGACATTGTCAAGGTAGGAAGAGACTAAAGAGACCTTGTTCCAACACATCATTGCTGCCATCGTCGCCTCGCCGATAAGGACATAAAACGGAATGGGCGGGCGGGTCCCTACTCCTCTTG